TGGTTAACACCCAGTGGTCCAAAAATAGATTAAACTTTGATGAGATTGATGCAAAGCTAATAGCATTAGATACAATAAAGCCCATCTCGATCTCCTAACCATCATGTATAAGTTTATTTCTACTCTTCCATGAATAAAATACCAAAGAGTAATACAAACTTGCAATGAAAGGATTAACTTTCGCTAACCTTCCCAATTTATCCAAACAATCCAGCAAGGAAGAAAAAATACGAATAAGAATTCCCCATTTATTCACCAAGGCAATAGCTTGAATTAGCTTGGAACATTTGTCTGCAACATGCTCAACATCTTCTATCGCCACACAACCTCTCGGACAATGATTATAATTCAGCAATCTCCTGTACATCAAGGGGTTTGTAGTAGGAATTGTATTCTTCAAAGGAAGTCACCAGAAACAGTCAATCCGAGGTTGCAGTTTCATATTCTTCAACCACTTCCAATTGTGAAAATTATCTAGATATTCCATGTTCGAACACAAAGGCCATACCATCAATTGTTCTACAAGAGAAGTTGGTTATAAGTTCCAGTTTATCATACAAAAGCTCTAAGTAAATCTTGATCTAAAACCCAAATATCATTTAATATGTTAACTGAATTACCTGAAGCAATCCTCCATCTCACAATTGGCCTAAGAGCTTTAGTACCAATAAGCAATATATTTCAAGTTGAAGAAGTATTAGTCCTGGGTATAGCACACCAGATGTCTTTGCCATACTTAGTAGATAAAGAGTTATTAAGAATAGAAATTGGATTGTTGAGAAAATTCCAAGCAAATTTTTCTTTCAAAGGTCCAACTATAGAAACGGTTGAGTGAATTCCATGACCTCCAGCATACATAGGTTTGCAAAGTTTCTTCCAAGTAACATAGTGTAAACCACGACGTCCATCTTTTTTATTCCATATGAATCCCTACACATCTTATCAAATTCTCTCAAAACGCTCAAAGGAACTAAAGAATGGGACAAGTAGAACAATGGAATGGAAATAATCACTAATTTAACAAGCACCAATCTTCCTTCTAGGGAGTTGAACTTATTCCCCCACACCTCCAATTATAAAGCAGATTTCTCCAAAAGATTGAACAAGTCTGAAGAAATCAATCTCCTCAATGCAATTTTGATACCCAAGTATTACATCTCCTTCACCTCATTAAAACCCATTAACTTGGAAATAGCACTTCTCGTGTTCCGTTCCACTGATTTGCCAAATAAAATGGATGACTTCTGAATGTTAACCTACGGGTCAGTCCAACAGTAGTAAACTGAAATAATTTTCTTAATTTTCTCAAAGTACCCAAGCTTGGCTTTCGAGAACATAAGAATATCGTCAGCAAATAGTAATTGAGTAACCTTAGGAGCAATAGGTACAACTTTTAAGCCCAAATTCCTTCCCTTAAGTAAAAAATTATTATTCAAAAGCTGATAACATATGATGATCAAATAAGGCGATAATGGACATCCCTGTCTAAAACCATTTCTTTTCTTAATAACCTTTGAACCAATCCCATTAACTTGGACCGAGAACAAAGGGTTAATAACACGCTCCATCAAAAGGTTAGAAAATTTCAATGGGAAACCATAATAATCCAAAACATGCCTAAGAGAATCCCAAGCCATGTTATCATATGCTTGTTCCATGTACACTTTAATTGCAACCAAACTTTTTTTAGATTTAGAAATTCTAAATTTATAAAACATTTCTTGGGCAAGAAGAGATTCGATGAAGTCCTCCCTTTGATAAAAGCTACTTGAACATCAGAAACCAAACAATGAATAACCTTTAATAATATATTCAAAAGAACCTTGGCAACAATCTTATAAATAGACATGCAAAGACTAATAGGATGAAAGTTGGAAGGAACTAAAGGATTACTGATTTTAGGAATAAGAATTATAAGAGTCTCCTTCCAATTAGAGCATATCTTACCCGAAGATAAGAAGGGAAGAATAGCATTCCAAACATCTGTATTAATCATCTTCCAAAAAGCTTTGATGAACGAATAAGAAATACCATCAAAACCATGAGAAATATTCCTACCAAGATTTTTAACCACAAACTCCACTTCTTCAAAAAAGAAATCAGCATTAAGGATATCACAATCCCCTTGACTTAATAAGTTCGGATTAGATGTCCAACCCCTCAAAATAATCTTTACATCTCCACTTGTTCCTAAAGAAGTTTAAAAAGATATACTTGATAGCCACTGAATCCTCCACAAGAGTGCCATCACCATTCTTCACTTGATTGATAAATTTACCATTCCTTCTTCCATTAGTAGAAGTATGTAAAAAGTTTGAATTTGTGTCGCCTTCACCTAACCATCTTGCCTTTACTCTTTGTCTCCACCAAGTATTCAATCGGGCAAGCGTGTTGTTCAAATCATTTATCTTAGACCTAAGTAATAGAAGCTTAACCTCTAAAAAACTTAGACTAGTCGATTCCTCCAACTAATGTTCTTCAATTTCCCTCTTAAGCTTTTCTTTCAGATCAACCAAATTCTTATGTTTAGATTTGCTCAAAAAATGCAAGGATTTCATAACCCTGAAAAATTTTTTATTAAAGAATTCCATAACATCACCACAAGCCAGTTTATTCCATGATTTACTCACCACCGTAGCTACAGCTAGATAAGATAACCATACATCTTCAAATCTAAGAAATCTGTTGCTACAATAACTTTGGTTGAAATTTTTCAAAACAATAGGGCAATGGTCAGAAGCAACCCTAGCCAAGTGCCTAATCGAAGCTTGATGAACCATTTCTAATGCCTTGTAATTCAATAAACATCTATCAAGTCTTTCAAGAATACGAGCGTTACCATTTTTATTATTGCACCAAGTATACTTTGGTCCAAGAATCCCAACATCATGAAGATCATTATTATTCATAAAAGCTTTCATCTCAAGAAGCCCTTGGGAAAAAGAGAACTTCTTACCACCCTTTTTATCATCTTTAGGCAGCATGCAATTAAAATCTCCCCTTACCACAGAAGGCACCTCCAACCTCGAGTGCAGCTCCAAACAATCCCACAACTTTCTTCTTCCATACAAGTCCTTTTTACCATAAACAATAGATACCACCCATAAACCTTTGTTTAGAATCTTCAGCTCCCCAACAACACATTGAGAAGACCTTTCCAACAAAAAAAAGTAGGCCAAATCAGTCCTCCAAATTACCAAGATACATCTAGACATCCCATTAGAAGGGAAGAGAAACAAATCCCAACCAACTCCCACGAATTTATCAAATTCACATCTACTAATAGATGAAATTTAAGTTTCAACTATACCAACAAATAAAACATCCCACTCTTTAACAAATTCCTTCAAATACAAAGAGGCTTCTTTCTTATTAGCCCCCCTACAGTTCCAAAAAGCTAAGGAACTCATTTCCTCATAAAAGGGGAAGGACCCCTCTCCTTTTCTTATTCAAATTCACCTTATTTTTCCTAGAAGATGGGTTCAAAGGTCCAAGAGACCTAAGCTCTTTAAGAAGTTTGGGTTTATACACACCAGACACAACATTACCCAAACCACCAAAACCTTCATCCTTGGTATCCATAGTAACTTCTTTATTGAAAACTGTCAAAGAAGGCTCCTTTGGCTTTTTGATTAAAGCCTCAGAATCCACCAATTCACCTTATTCTACATCAATTCTAACAGAATCACCAGCTCTATCCAAATTCTCCTCCTCCCCACACAAGACATTCAATAATTCAAAGCAATTACCTTTATTGGAATTTGACTTTGGAGAAGAGTACAGTTCTTTACCAGTAACTAAAGATAAATCATCCTGAGTAGAAACCTCTGTAGATATCTTCCATTTTTCACTATTCTCCTTGCAGATTTGATTAGCATCATCTTGAACCTCTATCCCATTCAAAGGCAATTCCGTCCCCATAGTATTTTGAGCTTTGTCCATTTTAGAAGACAAAACTTCATGTACACGAGCTTTAAAGGCAGCTTTAGGTATAAAACCTTTCTTCGAAGATAACACATTCCTTCTCTTATTTCTTTTGTTATTAACCAGTATCCAAGGCCCATAAGCAGACTCCTTCTTGATAACCTTTGGTTGAGCTTCATCAACATATTTACCATGGACAGGTGCCTTTTTCGCACCATCATTACCTCCTTCCATCACATTCAAACTGCAAGCGTCAATCAAATGCCCAATCCTTCCACATTTGAAACAAAAGGATGAGATTTTTTCATACTCCACCTTTTGAAACAATCTTCCATTCACTCCATCCACCCCAAACTGCTAGTGGAAGTTGTTTATCAAGCTCAACTCGGACGCAGATTCTGGCAAATTCCCTTCTTCCCTATTGGAACATATCGCCATCTATCAAAAGAGGTATTCCAATTAGAGAAGCTATTCTCAACACATTAATCTCATCCTAGCAATAAAGTGGAAGGTTGGGCATCCTAATCTAGAAAGGAGAAGACAACCCCTTTAAAGAATCAGGAGAGAAATTAGGATTCCACTTATCAAGTCCAACGATATGACCGTTCACAAACCAAGGCCCACCAGATAAGACGTTTTATATAGATTCATTAGTAAAAAAAGAACATAAGACCCATCCTGAGCTAAGAAAAGTCATATGGAACTTCCCAAATTGCGACCATTGGCATCTCAATTCTTCTGCATTAACTTGTATAGGGATATATCTACCGAAGACCTTCACAACAACAGAGTACTGAAGCTTCTTCAAATTGGGTTTAACATTAGGTTCATACAACTTAACTGCAGAACCATCCTCCGTGAGAACAGACTCATTTTTTAACATATTAACCTTAATATAAGGTCGCTTAGACCAAGGATTGCCAGGACGATGATCATTCATTTCTTGAACACCGATTTGAATTCCCTCTGAAGCATCAAGACCTTGACCATTCTCTAAAGCAATATCACAAACAGTTTGTGGATCATCACATTTACTTTGAACAGACGGAACTCTCTCCGATATGGAAATAGACTTAGAATTTGAAAACCTATTAATGAAGAGCTTCATATTTTAAGAAGATGGCTCAAAATTTTTTATTTTGGAAACGCCAAGCGGAGTATTAGCCTTGAACTCTTCCACAATTTTCTTGCCTTTACCAATAACTGGTGGAGAGGATTTAACTTCAACACCACTTGATTCTCTGATAACCAGAGGTGCATTGCAACGATTTAACTTCAGAGAAATCACGGATTGAGGTGAGACAGCTGGACCAGAAATGCCATGAGAGGCAAGCGACCAACAATTAGTAGGGTTCCGGCCACCAGAGTTGGCCAGTGGCCGGTCTTCCATCTCTAGCAGAAAACTTGCCAACAGATAGACAAAGAAAAATTTGAAAAAAACTAAATAAAATACTGGGAGCTTCTCTCTCTAGCGTTCTCTCTTCAACGCTGATTCAAGTGTATTCCATAGAGAAAGTTATATTGTGAAAATTTAACATATATAAAGTTATTCTCATTTTTACACTACAAACTTAAAGTTTTAATAAAGAAAATTCCAAAATTTTAATATTGTTAAAAAAACTAAGATAAATAGAGTGTAACTTACATTAATTTGGAACTTAAATTAAATAAAGCGGAAGCAATATAAGAAAAGAACACATCGGATTTATAGTGGTTCGTTCAAACCTTGACCTACGTCCACTCCTTGGGGGCACTCTCCAAGTATTGCACTACAAAAGTGTCTCTCCTTTAGCCCCCACAGCTAGGCGGAGAAGCCCTTACAAAATCACTTCCACCTTCCCCGGTGCGGCAGGGTCGCCGGGTCCTTTGACACCAAAGAGATCTTCTTCTTTGGTGAACTTCCCTCGAGATAAGCCTTGAATCCGACAGTATTCAGGTGCGAGCTTTCCAGAGCAACCGTGTGGATCCCCCACCACCCTCCTTTGAGTCCCCCCTCACAGGATCTTCTCCCTTTCTCAAACTCCACCCTTTCCTCACTCCCTTTCAAGATTTCTCTTCAAGTTGTTGCAAATCTATTTTTATGACTTATATTTTGATGATTGACAAACACTATTGATTCTCTTGGACTGTCTATTATTTCTAACTTTTCAGCAATAGACGATCGGACGAACTAATGAAGCCAGTTCAAGATTGCGTAGGTTTAGGGTTGAGTCAGTCTGTACTTTGTTTTTTCTCTTCTTGAGTCTATTTGTAATGGTCAAAGAGACTGATGCCAAGTAACCCTACACACACACACTTGAGAGACTTAGAATTTCTATTTTTACTCATATTGGC